CACACTCTCATCAAATTCTCGCTGGGATCCATCCTATCAGGGGGCTACCTTTATCTGGGATCCATCCATTCGAGCACAAACATAATATTATTTGGCAGGTGGGCTACCTGTCATCTACCCCCAAAATAAATAGTTACTTGAATATTATTAATGATGCCTGTGGGGTAAGCCTTGCCCCCCCTTACTGGTTCCTTCTACTAAACTCCTCAATGTTTTCAACCTTTTCCATATTTTCCATGGAATAAGTGGCAAATACTGGCAACATTCCCCACCTTATTTATTATTTAACTGGTCGTTTAGGGGGTACCCCACCCCTGAAATAATTTTATGGACCATATCACGCTATCCACACATTCCAGTCAATCAGTCGATCTACTAATTATTTCAGAGGTCCCTTAGGCCAGCCCCACCCCTGAAATACGGCGATTGTTTGACCTGCCTTGGACAGAGATCTTGCTTGTCCTCAATATTTTCCATATATTCTCCCGGATCGGCTGCCCCATCAAGGCAAAAAGACTGGACAGACGTTCACGGTACCACAGAGAAACCGAGAGAGAATGGCAGAAAAGAGGGCGCGATTATTATTTTGTAGGTGGTTGTGCTTGAACCACCTACGATTGCTGTTACTGCACACTTTCCTAGGAGCTGTCCCCATATATCTACCCACTTAGGTGGGTGGTCTATACCACCCCCCCCCCCTATCTTATCATGCTGTGTGGTTTATTATTTCTGAACTATATGACCTCCATATAATTCTATGCTCAGGTGGGTATACCCACCTAAAAATAATAAGTTTATTATTTTGAGGTGGGTGGGAGGGAGGGTGGTCAGCTGGCGGCCCCCATCATGCAAAGAACATCAACATGGCACTCGAGTACCTCGGTTGGGGACTTCGGTATATGTCTAAGGAGTCTAGGATGTCTGAGGGATGCCTCTGAAAGTGATTCTGGGGACCGTTGGGGACCGCCCATGCCAAGGGACCCCGATCTTTGGATTTCCACGTCCCAAGGTGCTGGCAACGTCCGGCTGCAGAGCGAGACCTTGACGTGACCTGGAGAAAGGAGTTGTTTGGTGAACTAGGAGGATGCCCAGATGGCCCTTTGAGGAATGCTACCGGCTACCGATGATTTTTCACATCGGCTGCTGGGACTGCCCTGCAGATTGCACTCGTTTTGACACTGACTCCAAGACCAATTGCAGACTGAGACATATCGATTCAGGTGGTGCCTGGATTGTTTGGGCGCTTTTGATGAAATTGCTTTAACGAGAATCCAGAAACTCTTCAGAAAGGCAACAGTTTCACACACTGCAGTCTTGATAGGGGCAGTGAGTGATGCATGGATTGGTTGTGTCAAGTGCAGTCGCCGTGCATCCGGCATGTGAGCAATTGTGCAACCTGGGATCCGTCCTATGAAAGACCAATCACCGAGCGTTTGGATTTGCGCGCTTGGGTGGATGATGCTTCATGGCTGAACTGCAAAGAGAATTTGGGGGTTTACAACAGGTCGGATTGTTTGGATTTGGACGTTGGTTTCAGCCTTGGCCGACGCTCACTTTGGGCCTCAACCGAAGTGTCCCCTGCATCACAAGAATCCTATGAAAGACTAGTAATTACATGTAATTACTATGACAAACTCAAACAAAAAGTTATATCCTGTGACACCTCTTATTTCCGTTGCAAAGTCAGCCTCGTACCCAGGCCCGAGAGAATTGCTGCGCACGAGCTTGCTGCCGCAGCGTGCTTGAAGTTGGTCGTGGCACTTAGGGCACGAGTCGGTCTTGGGTCATGGGTTGGGTCAGCGGACCACGCCCTGATGGGGCCCTACGCCCCTAAATACGGGGCCCAACCCGGGGGTGCAGGTGACGAAAGGTTGCTGAAGTGCAAACTTCGTGACCTGCGCTGGAAGTGGACCCCAACTTCACCTGTGTTTTGGGTGGACAGGTCAGTTCAACATCTACATGCGCAGACGAGTGAAAATCTGGGACCGAAAGATCAGCGCATGAGGATGTCTCACCTGCGCGAGGTGTTCTCAGCTCACGAGGTGTTCACATGGCAAATATGGGAGGGAATAGTAGAAGAAGGCATGATCACTTTGGGTGTAGATATGTGTGATGCAACCCAAGAGCCTACCCAGTTGAACAAAACACGCTCGTACCATAACGGAAAATATTGCAAATGTGTTTTCAAAGTTCCTAAGAATCACCATCGGAAAAAGTAATAAACAAAAACGTAATAAACACTAACTTCCGAAATCTTGCTGGAAAAAGACAGGTTTTCTAATCATTTGTTTGTCTCAGCAGGGAAAAAACGGAGTGAGCGCCGGGTCCCAGAAAAACTCGCGGCTGCTCATGTTGCTTGCATTCACAAGAAACGTCCCATTGACACCCCCGCTCAGAAAAAACAACACCTCTCACCGAAGTCTTAGCCACCAAACGTGTGAAACTACTTGGCCATTTTATGAGTCCGCCGCGGAGCTTGGTCTTTAGCGCAACAACATGACAGGGGCCTCCACGCCCAACCTTTTGATATATCTAACCGACTAACTCCCAGAAACACTCGTTGCAAAGATAAGAGCTTATGAACATCCGTTTGACTGAGCGCGATTACGCCAGAATCTTCTCTCTTTGTGCAGAAGTTGCTCTATGTGAAAACTCTGTGTGAAGAACCCATGGCCTATGACTATGTCCTTCTATTTCCGTTCTTTTTAGTTGACTCCTTGTGAACAAGTTGCTTTTTGCATTTGTTTGCCAATTTTCTCTTTGGCTGGTGCTTGTGATTGACTCCTCTATTTCTTAGGTCTTAGGCATGTTACTTTATTCATTTCTTTGTGGGCTTTGTATATATATATATAGTATATACTTGGTTCCATCTTATTTCTACGTCTTTCACTTTTCATTTCAATAGGGTAGGGCCAACGGCCGCTTGTCTCACTCAGACAAGGTGGCTCTGGCAGGAAAAACATATCATCGGTGTGGGATTTCACACCCACTCCCCACTGCTTTTGTTTAGTCCGGTTTTCACTTTGCCGCTGGGTGTTCCCGGCTGAGGCGCGGAATCTCTCAGTGGAGAACGCGGAGATCCAGGTGCAGAACCCTCTCGGCGGTTTGCCTTTGTTGACAAAACCCTCACGTATACACGCAGGATTCATATTTTCCTGCGATTCAACATTCAACATCCCTGTGGACCAGGATATACGTATGTGGTCCGGCCTAGTGCGCTCACTGCAGGCGCGCTGGTGGCGCCGTGGCTTGCCGGAGCGTTTGGCGGTGCAGGCGCGCTGCGACCTGGCGGCGCCCGGGAGGCTCAGGCGGTGTCCACTGCGCACCGGAGGCGTGTCAACGCATAAGGGCGAGGAAATTACGTATCGAAACAACATGAAACAACATGTAGAGGGTGTGTGTGTTTAAACCTATACAATAGGTTTGAATGATGTTCTAAAGCTGAAGAAATGGATGAGCACTTTAGAGAGACTGACTGAAGAACCAGTGAGCAGGGATGCAGAGGAAGTCCTATCAGGGCGAAAACGAGGGATATGTGATGTGAGGGAGTCATACTCCAAACCCTGCTTCCTGGTCCCTGCTCATCCCCACTCATTGGCTTAGGCAAATGTCCGAGAGCACTTTTTCCCGCGATTGGACGTCTAAGGCCTGGTGGAGAGAGGTCAGCCGCCTGGTGCGAAGCTGTGCCCCTGGGCAGCATTTGGAGAAGTGTGACCTTGACAGATTTGAAGACTGGGACTAGTTCTAAGAAGAAGCCCACTCTCCACTTCACAGGAAGCTGAATGCCAATTTGTGTGTGTGTCTATTTTATGAGAGTCTCATGAGAGCAAAACACCAACGCAAATCTTTGATCGCTTGAGATTAAAAGCTTCACTGAGAGTCCAGAACTGTTGTTTGGCATTTAAGTCAATTTGTTGGCTTGCTTTTAGATCGCTTCATATCGCTTCCAACATAGTGGGAAAAAGTGTTTGCAGGTCTATACATCATGTGGATGCATTTACAGGCTCTTAGACAAAATGTGAACATCCAAGTCTTAATTCAGGCTGGACAGAGAAAACCAAACAGTGTATGGTATAACTATGCTGTCGCCTGAGACAATATATTTCCTGCGCGGACGATATAGACGACCGATTCAGTCTTTTTCCCAAGGCCCAGTTTCATGGCAAACGTTGTGGCCAACAACCCCGAGTTGCGGAAGGAGGCCGTTCGTCGATGCCGCAGCCTCGTCGCCACATGGCATCGTGGATTCACACGCACCCAATCAAATTTAAGGCAGACAATTGAACTTAAAACGTCAACCTGCAAATTCCCACCTTTTTGCGAATGCACTCACATCAAATGCTGGAGGAACAACATACTGCAACGTCGGAAATAGGGAAGAGATCAAGAATCTGAACAACTTCTGTTTTTGAGCGGGAGCTGGAGATATGGAGTTGTCCTTCTGCGATGCTCCGGGCTTTGAAGAATGGAGATCCGGGCCCGATGCGGTTGGTCTATTTCAAGACGTCGGAACAGATATGTTTGGATTAGTGTCCACACCGGATTAACTATTCACCCCCCCCTTCGGGTCAACGAGGTCAGGTATTGGAGACCAGATCCCCCTAATAAAGGTGATGATGAGCTGACGATGGATGATGAGGTGATGACCTGGAGCCGATGATGGATGATGGTGGATGGTGGATGATGGTTGATTGGATTTATATTGATTCTGTGTGAACCATGAGAGGTGTATGAACAAGTGTCCAATCAGTGGTTTGATTGGGAAGATTTGGATGAAAAGGAAACTGAATGGGGAATCCATGGCCGTCCATTTCATGAGACTGTGGGGAAACCAGTTGGTGATACTTTCTGTGATTGGGATTATTTGACAAGGGTGAGAGGAATGCAGGATTAAAGGGGTGGAAGAAAAGATGGAGGCCAGAGGGTGCGCTTGATTAATAGTGGGGGGCCGCACCATTAGATGGTGGTGCCCTTTGTGATGAATTTTCGTGGCAGGCCCAAGGGAAACCTTGTGCTTTGTTGGTCTATTGAGCATTTTCGTGACAAGTCCACAATATCGGAGCGGCTTTGCAGCGATGTGATTTCGTGGCAGGCGCAGTACTTTGAACATGGCGGTGGTCTTCGGCGTGCTCTGATTTTGTGGCAGGGACATGTGGCTCGTTTTAGAAAGCGGGGGGAGTCTCAAGCGACAGCTGCGTTTTGGTATCTTCATGTTCTCTTTGGAAGTGCTCTTGTTGCGAATCACATTGGCAGGGCTGCGCGGTGTGATTCTTGATGTGCAGACTTTGTGGCAGGCGCACTACTTTGTGGGCCTTGAAGTGCAGACTTCATGGCAGGCGCAACGCTTCGTGAGCCTTGAAGTGCAGGTTTCGTGGCCGGCGCAAGACTTTGTGTGAACCTTGAAGTGCAGATTTCGTGGCAGGCACAATACTTTGTGGAAGTTTAGGTCCGCGGGGCGCAGTATTTTGTGATGGACCTGGAGGTGCAGATTTCGTGGCAGCTGCGTATGCTTTTGCATGTCCGTGCTCTCTAGACTTCCAGCCTCCAGAAATCTCTCTCCACCACTAGACTTCAATTCTAAATCTGGTCACGCAAGGTAACCCTCAGGGGGATGCCTTGAGTTTGTCTTGCGAAGCAAGTGTGGGCTTCTCCGTGTTTAATACTAGATATATAGTGAGCTGCTTAAAGATACAATATTTCTCATTGGTTTTTCCCTCGAATGAAAAAATATTTTTCTTTACATCCGCCAAGGGATAGAATATTCTTTTTAGAATATTCCCAAATGATATTCTATCCCCTTCCGGACTATTCTATCTCTTTCCGCGATAAGCAACGTGCGCAAGAAAGAGTTTCTGATATGCGCAGCAAGCCCGGCCCAAGACAGTTCATGCAAATAGGGAGCATGAGCCCGACTGTGGCCATACTTGCTGCACAAGATCACTATGAGACCTGCGGGTATCCAAGTGATGAGAGGGGACTCCAAAGAGCTATGAGCTTGGCTGCAGTACCGGCAAAGTTTATTGAGCGATGGTCAAACGAAGGGTTTTGGAATGTTCTGGATCTGTTCTGCAAGTTATTTCCACCTGCTGAAAGATAGAAATGATTAGTAAGGGGAATATTCTATCTCTTACCCGCAATCAAGGGTAAATGGCATTCTATCTCTTTCTCATTCGCAAGGGAATATTCTATCTTTCAGCAGGTCACTATAGTTCAATCCACCCCCCCTCCCCTTGGAATTGATTTTTCAACACAGACTCCCACCACTCTTTCGTCCCGAAGTGGATCTTATTTGGAGCGGGTCATTTGGTCTGCGAGAACATCGGCAACGCGGACCGTGCGTCAGCAAATTCTCGGACAACGGCTCATGCAGATATGCATTCGCGCAGCGCATCCACTGCTATACTGCTGGGATCTGGATTTGCTGCTGCATCGCATTGGATGTAGATCTGAAACAGCTTTTACACAAAACCACGTTTTATACCAACCACCGCTGAGGCAAAACCACGCTTACACCAACCACCGTTTACACCACAACATGTTTTATCCAACCACTGACCTTTCTCACCAATCAACGGTTTACACCCGCCACTGTTTACACCAAACCACGGTTTACACCCACCACTGCTCACACAAGACCACAGCCTACGCTAACCACCGTGTATACCAACCACCGTTTACACCAACCGCCAGCACACCACGGTTTACGCCGACAGCTGCTTACACCAAACAACGGTTTTTACGTTGGTCCTCATGAAGTGCCCATTTTTCCTTCAGAGATATCAGCAGCTGCCATAGCGCGCTGCTGAGCCGGGACAGATGATGCATATGGCACACTGCCTCGCACACCTTCTGTTGCCTCCATGCTTCAAAGCAATTGGCTTCATTTCAGAGTCAGGTTGGCCTTCAATGGAAGTCACCAACACATCCAGGCTGTGACACTCACTACCAATGCAAGTTACCTGTTGTTTGAGCTTCTTTGCTTGGCGCTTGTACCACTCCACCCCAACTTCTTGGGCGTGCCAGGCTTCCCCCCTTTTGCCACCTGAAGTGACCAGCTTCTGCGCAGGACCTGCTGCCACGGCGGTCCTCATGGCAGCGAAATCCTCTGAGGTGACATCTTTCACTTCCTCCTGCAACTCCAGTCGCCTCTTTTTGATGATGCTTGGATTTCTTGCTGGCACAGTACTTGTACTGTTTGACTCCCATGCTGGCCAAATTGGTGTCCTCATGGTCTCTTTCAGGCAGGCCTTTGACACGGGCCAAGCATTTTTGCTCATAATTTGCTAAATGGGGTTTTATACCCTGGTGGTCTGCAATCTCCTCTGCAGTCATCCAGTCATCTACCACATCTTCGATGTCATTGGTATCCTCTGTGTCCTTTTCAGGACAGCCTTTTCAGACACACTGGTGTCTAACAAGTATATGTCATAGAAGAATTTTATCCTCTCTTGGTGCCCCTTGCAGAGTTGATACTGCTTCTGCAGATCAGGGTGCTGCTTGAGGTGATAAGACATCCTCTTGGCTGCATCTTTGGGGATTGGTTCACAGCCACTAGCAGCCTTTGCTGGGGCTTTGGGGGCTGCTGGTGATTTAGGCTCAGCCTTCAGGGCCCTCGACTCCCCTTTTAGGGGGGAAGCTGCAGGCCTTGCCATCTTACTGCCAGCAACCATTGTTGCAACAACCCTTTCTCCTTGAGCCAAAAGCTGCCACGCAAACCAAAAGGCCAAGGCCTCAGGCCTAAGAACTGTGCCAGACCCCACCAAGCCAGACCCAGAGGTGGACCTCCAAACCAGACCCCAGAGGTGGGAGCCACCATGCCAAAAGTTCAGGAATTGAACTGTTGAACCTTTACTTTCCCTTTAATTTAAAAGTCAATGGAAAGTTCAAAAGTTCAATTCTTGAACTTTTGGTGCGGTTTGGTGGTTTCTTGGTGTTTGGACACCACCTAAAATTGGCTTCTGTGTGGTTCACCAAACCCAACAAAACCCAGAAGACGCACCAACAAAGTTGAACGCCCACCCAACCCCACCCTCCTCGCATTTTTCCGTAGCAGCAAAAGTCAGCAGTCACCTGTTGGGCAATGGGCTGTACAGGCCTTCTCAGCTCCCCAGGAGCAAAGCCAAGCAGCGAGCGCCACAAAGGCCTTTCCAGGCCAGCCGCAAGGCATCACTCAGCTCCTTGAGGATTTGCTGACATTGGTGGTTTGGTGCTGACCCACATCTGGCTGTGAGCTGCAGCTGGAGCTGCTACTCATCTCAGCATCAGGGTCAGGCCTTGCCAGGCGAGGCACTACTGTGCCAGCTGTTGTTTTTGCTGCGTTCACAGGCTGTGGGTGCTTTTCCTCCAAATCAGACATCACTCCATCCATTGCTGCCACCACGTCGCCTCATTACCTCCTCCTCATTGGAAATGTTTGCTGGTGAGGTTGGGCTGCAATGAGGTGGTCCTTCTGCAGGACAGGAAGGTCTATATACTGCGCTCCTTCCCTTCATTTTCCATCTTGTCTAGAGCAGCATTGATCACCTTCTTGGTGGGATGTGAGCAACTTCTTTTGAATTCCAAAACGCAGAAACCTTCACAGTCATTCAGCCACTTGGGAATGGGCCAGCCTTCCCTTTCCAGGACTCTCCTCATTTTTCTTCTCAAATGACTCCTAAAGCTTTTGTCATCAAATTTGTGACTTCTTTTGAGCAAATCATGAATTGCTCAAGCAGGGCATCCAGCTGCCTGCTTTCAGGGTGTTCCTGTTGGCTTCTTTCAGGCCAGGCATGCCTGCCATAGCTTTGGTGTTGGCCTTGTCCAGGCCACCCAGCCAGACCCATGCTGCCAAGCCATCCCTGCATTGCGCGCAGGCCAGAAGATGGGCTTCCCTGTATTGTACCCTTGCCCAATACCAAGGCGTGAATGTGGACATGGTTGTTTAGATTCCTAGACACACATGCACTATAAATCTGGTCACGCAAGGTACCCCTCACGAAGCAAGCAAGTGATGGCTCCTCAATCCTACCCATTGCCGTTTGGGGAGTGGTGTTTTTGGGGTGTTGGATGTGGCTGTGTCATTGGGATCTGCGTTTCAGGGTGTTGCATCAAAGCTGCGTTTTCGTGACAAGTCTCAGCTCAAATGGTGATTTTGGTGGATGGTCGTGTACTCAGAAATTGTTGAAATCATTCGGTGTGGTGCAAATTAATTTTGCTGAAGCTACGAAGATATGATATTGTCACTTTTCGTGGCAGGCGCAGTACTTTGCGCAGGCTTTGACGCAGGCTTTGAGGTGTGGAAGTGCAATTTTCGTGGCTGGCACAGGAAATCGTGAGGTTGCGAGGTGTGGCGGAGGTCACATTGCGAGGTCACATTGCGTGGCAGGCGCAGTATACTTTGTGCGTGTGTTGGAGGCATGGACGCGCAAACTTTCATGCCAGGCACAGGGAATCGTGAGGTCGCGAGTTGTGGTGGAGGTGAATGTCGCTGTCGCTGTGACCATTGCGATTGGCGTGTGGGCGGGTATTGTTTGGCGGGGCTGGAATCGCGAAACTGCTTGCCCGCTTGACTTTTGGAGGAAGACTTTTGGAGGAAGACTTTTGGAGGAAGTCTCGTACGAAATGCTCGTTTTGGAGACTTGACGCGTGACTTTTGGAGGAAGTCTCGTACGAAACGCTTTTTTTTGCAGACTTGAAGTGTGACACTTGGAGGAAGTCTCGTGCGAAACGTTTGTTTTGGAAACCTTGACTGTGAGTCAGCAAATTCTCGGGCGACGGCTCAGATATGCATTCGCGCAGCGCGTCCACTGCTACTGCTCGGATCTGGATTTGCTGCTGCAGCGCATCAGATGCAGATCTGAAACAGAGTTTTACACCAAGCCACACTTTACACCAACCACCGTTGACGCCACAAACCACATTTTTACACGCGCCGCCGTTGACACCAAGCCACGGCTTACACCAACCACCGCTTACACCGCAACACGTTTTACTCCAACCGCTGACCTTTTACAAGCGGCTTGCGCCCGCCACCCTATACACCAAACCACGGTTTGCACCCACCACTGCTTACTACGCAAAACTACGGCTTACAACCACCATGTATACCAACCGCCGCTTACACCAACCACCGTGTGGCCCACAAAGGTGTCCCCCAAAAATGGGTCCCACAAGAGTGTCTCCTACAAGAGTGTCAAAAATTGTTTGGGTGTTTGTTTTCGAATACGTGTTTGCATTCGGGTTCGAGGGTTCCATCTTGTTTTATCACCAATCCTTTTTCACCAAAATCCGAACCCACAAGTGTTGTGACAGAAGGTTTAATCTTTATTAATGTCACCACTGGGACAGGCGTTGGAGGCCCTATGGCCACACGGCCTGGCTGCAGTCCTGGCCATTTGCCCGGACCGCAGCGCCAACCACAGCGCGGGCAGCGCCTGCATGGGCGTAGAGAAGAACAGTCCAATGGAAAACTAGAACCAGGCAAGTCACAATCAACGAACCCCCTACTATTCTCAATGGGGTGATTATCCGGCATTTGTGGTCGAGTCGTAGCCGGGAATTGGTTCGATTTCAGTGGACGGGTTGATTACGTCAAACAGGTATCCTCCCTGGTTGGAGCTCTCTCATTGCGTGGACAACACGAACCCGACCAAGAACCACACTTGACCAAACTAGTTACTGTTTTTTTTTTTTGCATGTTTTGATTCTGCAATATTATCCAAGAGAGAACATGTTTTATGTTTGTTTGTTCGGCCGAGTTCCGGAATTATGTTTGTGTTTGTTCGGGCATGGAAGGTGAACAGTTTTCCCCAAAGTTACACAGTGTTTGTTACGAGAAATGCCATCTGCCAATCCACTCAGACTCCTCCGCATCCTCCGCCACGGGTTCAAGCCCGGTGAGGTTGGCGGCGGCCGGACCATGGGTTCTTCCTTTTGCAGAACCTCTTCGCAGGAGGCCACTGTTGGTCCCACTGTTGCCCCCTGGCGTGAAACCCACGAAGAAATTGATACGATACTCTCCAAACAACCAGATGAGACTCGCAGCACTTTACACGAAAAGCGCCATCTCCAAGTCCGCAGGCTGCCTGAAGCAGCTCTCAGAACACGGTTGCCTGTGCGGAGTCCCTGCGATTCGTCGCGTGTCTTGACCGTGACTCGAACGTTCGCTCCGATGGCTGCGAAGTGACAGTGGGGGGGTCGTACCTTCTGCAGATCATCGCGCCCAGGTTCCACATGGTGTTGGGTTTGCTGCGGGCGTGGAAACCAAGTGTTGCGCTGACTGTCTACAGATTCGACAGGGCATTATGAATAAGCTTGACCTTTCAAAGGCTTCAATGGACTAGCATGGACTAGCAGATCAAAGACCTGAAGGGAAAGACTTCAAAGGACTTGACTCAGAAACCCGTTAGACATCAGACTTCTTGGCTCCCAGCTTGAACTTGCGCACCGTGCAGTCTTACCCCACACGGTTATTGGGAACCAGCATGAACCAGCAGTGCACGTGACAGTTTGCCTTGAGGTTGCAACTGAACAACCTGCGACACAATAACCCAACACATCACTACGATGCTCCTTTTTGTGGTCCTTCCACGTTTAAAAAGACACATTGAACCTCTCGCTGCCTCCTGCCGTGGCCTCAACATGACAGTGATCAACACCCCAAAACCAGGATCCCGGGCCTTCCGGGCCTTCCGGCTCCCCAACACCACCGTGGTGCCATGGGCGGCTCACGCGCGTGGGCAGCGCTCGCCACCGGGCTGGGCCTGGTGCTGGCGCTCCTCGTGTGGCGGCGACGGCAGACGACTCCGAAGGCGCTGGAGGCGGCGGCTGCGACGAGTGGTCCGGAGGCGACATGGGCGATGGTCGAGGATCGAAGCGTGTTGCTTTTTGCCGGGGAAACATGACGTTGTTTGGTGAGGCAAAGGAAGCTCAAGGATTGGATTTGGGTTGAGGTGTCCTTTTCTTGAATGCGGGGTGTTCTTTTTCTTAATGCTGAACAAATTCAGAATGGTATAGGAGTGGAACATTGAGTTTCGGAAGGGGTCATGTTCAACATGTCCCATCAAGCGGTTTTCTGAGCGTGGAGGGTGTCGGAACGAATCGTTATGAATTCCCGTAACTGGCGTTCAGTGTCGATCCACACATGACATGTCCACAGGATGATGGACAAGGCATATGGGAACACGTGTCCTGTACCGGGGTACTTTTTGCCAGAAAATGTCAGGTGTTGGGAACATCCCCTTTTGACCATGATGAGTATGTGTGTGTGTGTCGGGGGGGTGATTTTTCGGAAAACACACTATTTTCTTGCAAACACATAAGGTGAGTGCACCCCAACATGTTGTTTGAGTCCAAGAGTGTGCTGATTGTCCTGGACTACGTAGGACATAGCTAGAATATTATCGTGTAACTTTTAAACGTGTGCTTTTGATTTTTCTAGCAATCTGGGAAGTCTATACATCCACTCGGGAATGACTCATGAATTCATGAACCTTACTTTGCCCTCACTCGATCATGCTCCTCTAGGCTCTTGCCCCAACCGATGCCACAGATGTGCGTGAAGAAGCTCGGTGTGCATCCGTTACAGCGTGCAAACTTGCGGGGCTGATGGCCGGATTTGTTCGCCAGAGGATCAAATATAGGATTGCACCACGATGTCCTGGTCTGGGAAAGGAAAGCGCATAGTGGGGTCCCAAAGACAGTCATTGTGATTTATTTGCGTTTTCCGAATAAGGCCTGAGTACAGCCCTTATATTCGGGTTTGCGCAACACCAACGATATATAGGCAGTGTGATCATCAGGACTGCCTGCAGCCACAGAGTCCATGGAGTAGCATGGAGGGAAAGAAACGGGAAGAACGACTGGGACCTGTCGAACAAAGTCAGTTGCTGGGAAGGCGGGTGTTTTCCAGTTGAAGAGCGTAACGAGAGTAGTAACGAGTCAAACAGTGACCTGTGAGACTACAGACTTTCGGCAGATGCCTGCTTTTATGTGGGCATTCTTTCACGAACCGATCCAGACCCCGCTTCTGAAACTTCTAAAGTCTGAGTGAGGTCTTCCTTTTTGACATTTAATGGGGACATTTGCATTAAGGCAGATTTGTTCTTGGATGAGCCAGACAAAACACCTTAAAACAAACACACTTTTTGTGGGTGTATATATATATCACACTCAACTGAACATACGCTTATCCACTCGACAATGAGGTGTCTCAACATTAATCCGACCATTTTGAGGACCGCCGCAGTTTGTACTAATACTAACGATATACTGAATAAGGGTATCTCGGTATCTCAAGACCACACTGAAAAATTCCACGAAGGTTGCACTGAGACTCTGCAGATTGTATATAACCCTATACTTTTTGGGCAATCCAGCTTCCACTGCACCCGCAGCTAAGGTCGCTTCAGCTGCACCGGAGCCCAGCTCAGTGCCACCTGCACCGGAGCCCAAGGCGGCGCCGGAGCCCAAGGCGGCGGTGGACGTGGTGGTGCCGGACGCCGTGCCGCCGGTGGCGACGCCCGCACGAGCTCGGCCCAAGAGGGAGGAGGGGCAGGGGAGTGTTTCGCGGTTCTGGTGGGGTCAACATATATAGTAATTGCGCAAGTAATTATTATATAATACATGTTGTTCCCCAAACAGTGTGGACACACTTAGGGTTTCTTACGGCAGGTGTTAAGCACCGGGCTTAGATCGAGTGGGCTGCGCCGGCTAATTCGCTGCTATTTACAGTACATTCATGTCTCTCGAAATCGTAGACGTGCATTTCGACTGCGCAGCGCAGGCTCGCAAAATAGTGCCTAATTACTGGAAGACCGCCTGGTGAGATTTGGATCCAGATCTTCAAGATGTTTTGCTTCTTTGTTGTTTGGGAGTGGACTTGTCACTCCCATGGGGGACCACTCCTTGGTTGCGCGTCCGAATTTGGAAGCAGAAGCTTTATGGCCGCTTGGGAGTGCGCTTGCCACGTCAATGCTTGCAAGTGTCTCGATTTCGCGATCGAACTTAGAATGCGCTTGAGTCGTGAAGTGTGTTGATTTTGTTTTTTTTGCATGGTTGTACTGTGTGGGCTGCGCGTGGCTTTGAAAAGGAGGGCCATTTAATTTTGGACTTTTTTGTTTTCTTTTTCTATTTTTTGTTTGTCGTGGCTTCTGGCTTCTGGCTTTTGTGGCATTTGGCTTTCGTGGCTTCTGTGGCTTCTGTGGCTTCTGTGGCTTTTGGCTTTTGTGGCTTCTGTGGCTTTTGGCTTTCGTGGCTTCTGTGGCTTTTGTGGCTTTTGGCCTTTCGGCCTATCGATCTATCTGTCTATATCTATCTATCTGTCTATCTATATCTATCTATCTATCTAACTATCTTTCTTTCTTTCAAGGAAGCAAGCAAGCAAGGAAGCAAGCAAGCAAGCAAGCGCGAGCTGCTCACCTTTGGATCTGGTGTGCTGCTGGGGGGGGGCCGCGCCCCCCCCCCAGCTCCAACTGGTCCACGAAATCTGCACTTCATCCCCAACACCCGCGCCTGCCACGAAATCAATATTTTTAGGTGAACTCCCCGGCGCAAAAACTTTTTAACCAAGCAAAAATGCCTCCTCTATCTATCTATGTATCTATCGATCCATTTATCTTTCTATCTGTCTGTCTGCAGTTCAACATCCACAAGGTACTACACCTGCCACGAAATCTGCACTTCAAGGTCCACAAAGTCTTGCGCCTGCCACGAAATCTGGCCCACAAAGTCTTCAAGGTCCACAAAAAGTCCTGCGCCTGCCACAAAATCTGCACTCCAAGGCCCACAAAGTCCTGCACCTGCCACCAACTCTGCACTTCCACATCCACAAAGTCCGGCACCTGCCACGAAATGTGCATTGCAAGGTCCACAAAGTACTGCGCCTGCCACGAAACACGAAAAGCAAAAAAATCAAAAACATACAAAATTAAGTCGCGGCCCCTTTGAAAATGACATTCGGAGCCCTGGTTCACGAGAAGTCGTTGCAGCCTGTAGGGTATTTGTCGCTAGCCGACGATGCAATTACCTCCGAACGGGGTGGAGATTGCGTCACCGTGCAAGATGTGCCAGGCATCTTCCTGATGCCCATGATTTGTGTTCAGTCAGGCTCCAAAGCAGATTTCGATCTCACTTTGGCGTTGATTTGCTTCCAAGCAAGACTGTTTCGTTTGACCATCTGAAAGGTTGCCGGGTCGGTGAAGCCTCGGCCTCGAACCCTGGCCCAGGCAATCCATGAAAAAAGAACGCCCTGTTCGCAAGAGCGCTGGTTTTTTTTTGGCAGACTATTGGTCATGAATGTAGTGTTCCAAAGAAGAAAAAGCCACAAGCACCAACCCTGCTCCGGACCGGGCGTACACTCCCGGCGCTCAGCCAGGCAAGGAAACAGCTGCTACATGACTCGTGGCGGGATACATATATGGTCCTGCTCGTCGGCCTGACGACTTTCAGAAAGCTACTAAGGACTCTTCCAGCACAAGTCCTGAGCACTCTTGCAGAACAAGTCAGGGGAATACTTGGAACGTTGTGCAATGGACGCTGTGGGCCAATGACTGGACAGCTCCAGCGCATTCGTACGCGTTGTTTTTTCCCGTTGGATGCTGATAGTGCCAGGCAATGCGTCGTGCCTCTTCATGGTAAGGATCAGGTTCACGAAATCCAAGCAGTGCTTCTAGGCCGACCAAACGTCAAGACTACAGCTAGTCTGCTCGCATGCCGTGATATGCACATGGATGACTCGCCCATTATGCACATTGCGCTCTGTTCCAGAGAATGTGGGGACTAAAATGTCTCCTCGGAAAGCCTTTGTCATCGCTTCCCACAAGGATGGCCCGAAACTCAAACAAGATGCTATTGCCAGCCAGACTTTGCCTAAGCCGGTACCGACGGCAGTTTTGCATTTTCGATGTGAAGAGAGGTATATGACAATGAAGCCTTTCGATTTGCCTTGAAAGACGTTCCTCGGTTGGATTCGAGCTGCCGGAAGCCAAGAGTTGGCTCAGAAGGGCTTAGATACTTGGAGTTGCAAGCAGGTTGGTACTTCTGAAGTGTCGATGCTATTGGTCACCGGCCCGCTTATGAAAATGAGCAGCCGAGATTGTCATGGTCACAGGTGGTTCGTTGAGCCAATAGAGAACAAAGAGAACTGGCGAATTCAATGGCAGAAGAGAACTGAAAGTGAAACCTGGATTGCGTGTGCTGATCGTGTGCGCAACCTCGAAGGTGAGGGTGCTGTGAAGGGCCTTCGTAGCTTAAAGTCCAACGTGTTGCTACAGATTGCCCGCCCGAGAGTAGGCAATGGCGCTGGAAAGTTTCGGGAGCTGGTGTCAGCGCTTTATTCAGCAAACTAAAGATGACCCTCCAGATGGGCACCCTTTGAGGGCACCCTGGCTCATCCTTTTCGCATTTGAAATTGTTTTTCATATAGTTGATTTTATTTCAGCTTAAACTGTTTGAAATTGTCACAGATGTCACAAATATAAGATTAACCATGCTAGGAAATGGTTCAATGAGATTACAAATGGCGCAAATAAGATTAAACGTGATTAGAAACAAGTTTGTTCAAAATCCAACTGAGTAAGAGTATGAGTGAACCAAAAGTGTTTTCACGAGTAAGTCCACAGCATTGTCTTGACCACTAGACCTGTGGTCTCGCACGCGTGAACCAACCCCCCCTCAACAACCAAGGCCTCGAAAAAAGTATATTAGAAAGCCAATCAGTTGATGAACACGTAAAGAATCCCTACTTTGCTACCTCTGGAGCTACTCTGGCAATGAAAGGAACCAAGATTGAAGACATCTGCAATAATAGAATGAAAGGATCAAAGCCTAAGATTGAGGACATTTGCTTTTAAAAACAATTTTTTGGAAGACTTAAAGATTAAAGAGAGTGACAAGTAAAGGACTGGATCAAAAGGAAAAGCAAACACAAAGATTGAAGATCAGTTTCAGGAAAGCTGCAATCCAAGAGACATTATTTTAGGGCCCCCCCCAAAACAATGACAGAAACTTGCTTGCTGGACTACCCCCTTTGCTGGAATGGTTCTTTGTTATTCAATGTGTTTGATTAAGGATTTTTTGTAAAGAAGTGCGCGCATACTTTTTGAAATGTTTGGAAGACTTACAGTATAGATACAATGACAAGTCAAGGGCTTGATCAAAAGGAAAAGTAAGCAATAAGATTGAACATCAGTTTCAGGAAAGCTGCGATCCAAGAGGCATTATTTTGCCCACCGCTAAATAATGACAGAAACTTGCTTGTTGGACTACCCCCTTTCTGGAAAGATTTGTGTTTTTCATGGTTTTTGAATCAGATTTTTGTAAGGAAGTGCGCGCATACTTTTGGGAATTTTTGGAAGACTTTAAGATTAAACAAAAGGAAAAACTTCAAAGTCATCAAATCTCAATGGAAATCTCCCATTATTGATGGACATTTGCATCCAAAGATCTTCAAAATCATAAAACCAGATAGTAAAAATACAATTATTCCTGTGGCCTTTATTCATCAGTACAGGAAACAAGACATTATTCTAGTGACGTTTTTTTTATCAAAGGTGAACATTGTGCTGTCAGATGTGTGTTCTCTAGACCTCTGTAAACCTCTGAAACTCTACTTTCACTCTCACTCACACTCTCACTCACTCTCTCTCTCCCTCTCTCTCACTCTCACTCACACTCACTCTCACTCTCACTCTTACTCACACTCACTCTCACTCCTCTCTCACTCTCTCACTCACTCTCCCGGACTCGCACTCGCACTCGCACCCTCACGCCCACTCTCACTCTCACACTCACACTCACTGTCACTCGCACGCACACCCACTCTCACTCTCACTCTCACCCACATTCACTCACCCACCCACTCTCGCTCTCACACTGCCTCGCACTCTCACTCTCACCCACACTCACTCTCACCCACACTCACTCTCACTCTCACGATCTCCACCTTCATCTGGACCCCAATGCTACTACACCACACTGTTTGGGGTGTCTTGCCGAGATATTTTCTAATATATACACAAAATACACACAAACATATACTATATATACAGGGCCGGATATAATAGGCTAATATTGACGCGAAAACGTCTTCAGTTTTTGGATCTCTTGCCCCTTCAGTTTCCACTTGAAGTGCGGTCATACCACAAAATGGTTTTTGTCGTTGGTGTTGAAAATATTTATCCGAACAATTTGAATTCCGATGATTCCATCCTTTGGAGGGTTCATCGTTGGTATGAAAGATCTGCTGGAACATGAAGAGACTCCGCCTTAAGTGTAGACCTTCCCTGGAAACCGAAGAACACTGTGCATGCCCATTTGTTGCGGTGTCGAGATGCATCCACTTCCTCCCACGACCCACGGACCTTCGATGTCCGAAGGACTCGGGACTGGCCCGTGGTTTCCTGAACAAAGCGCCCAAGAAGGCCTGGGTCCGGCATCAAGGCGGTTGACGGGGGTTGGACCTCACGGTTCATTGGTGACGACGTAGGGACGGGTGCTCCGCTCCCCTCGGCCAGAGCGAACTGATTTGAAAGAAACATATATAGGCCTCTTTGACCAATCAGCCTTTCACCGACCCCAGCCCACCAGGACCCTACGAGTAGGCCTCATTGGACGCGAGTCAGCAGCTCCTCGGCTCCGAGGCGAAGAAAACCGACTCAACGAAGCCGGAGGTGAGGCCGCAGACGACGACCCCTGCTGTGGCCGAGACCGCTTCTGTGGCCGCCTCAGGGAGGAGATGGGAAGAGGGAGGATCGGACCCTTTTTCAGGCAGTAGGCTGTGATTGGGGGTGTTGGTCGGTGATATGATGGTCGGTTGATGTCGGTTGGGTGCTTTGTTGGCTCTTTTATTATGCTCTTTGTAAGACTTGTATACAGTGTACAGTATAATTAATATATAGTATATACTGTAATCTGTCCTTCCTGCAAAGCTGAGAGTGGGGAACTCCTCAAAAGGGACCAACGTTCCGACGTTCCGAAAACATTACCAAACTCCAAACAACATGGTGGAGACTCACCGGCCAAAAGGCCATAGAAGTACGTGATATGAAGTGATTCAAAATTCAGTGTTCAAGTGGCCCTCCTCCGCCCTGCTCCTCACACCAAGGCCTCGGAGGAAATCGCACGAGAGGAGCAGGCGTTGGGAATCGCGGGTGGGCAGCAGATGGCGAACGACGGGAACGTACTTTTTTTGGACACTTCAAGTCAAGCAGCTGCTCCAGATCTAGCTAGTTGCCTACCGGCGGAACATATTAAACTTATTAAACCAACGCAAATCCGGATCGCTGACAATTTGAAACACTTTTTCCACACTGCCCACCACCTTCGCATCCACGGTCTCTCCATGGATGTGTGTGTTCTCAGGCGGGCGTCCGCTTCTTCCATGCCTGCGACTTCCGGGAAGCCAAGGGCTGCTTCGAACGCATGCGGCGCAAAGCCAACGAAGCCCAGCTGGGCAAAGAGGCACGTTGGCCCTCCAGCATGCGAGCGGGCAAGAGCAGATGATGCTGCAGGGGGTTGCGGAGGGGGACACCAAGCTCGACCAAAGCACACCTGTCTATGCTTTGGAGAACTCCAGAGGTTTTTGCAGTGAGTTGAGACTGTGGGGGTCCAGAATTCATGTCAGTCATGGCAGGAGAACTTCAAGTGACTTTGATGGCCCATGTCTAAGTGTTCTTCATTGTATGAATCCTAGCACCACATAAATTAACTGTTGTCAATCTCCAAAACCCAGAAGTTCACATCCCCAAAGTGACAAATGCTGACCCTCCTATTAACCAAACGCTAGGCTTAAATATGCTCCGGGTGACCATGTGTTCTTTTGCAAACTTTCAGCTGTTCCCCATTTGGACATCAACCATCATCGATGTCTCGTTTCAGGAGGGGCAAGCGTATCGGCTGTTAGCCAATGCATTGGACAAGCTCAACACGCCGACGGAGGTTCGGGGCTCGGAGTTGGGCAAGGGGCGATACCCAAACCACTCGGTTCAGCCGGGAAAGAAGATGAAATGCCACTGGTTCAGTTTGAGATGATAGCATTAACTTATGGTGTGTTTGTTTGGTAGCAAGGGTATATTTATAGACGACACTTAACAAATGTATATATTTCTTTATAAACAACTAAGGGGTACATCAATTACTATAGTCCCCACAAGTTCCCTCATCAACCGCAATGAACTATAGTTCTGCAAGTTCAATTGACGCATGCAAACTCAACAGGTGACTAGGCCAAGAGATACCCGGCTTAAAATCAATGGATTCCAAGGGTATACATTACGTTGCAAGGACCGGCATATGTTCACTTGAACAGAAGCCATTCTCCAATCGTTCAGGCCCACCATCATCCCGAACCGCATCACTACAAAGACCAGAAAAGTCTTTGCTCCATCACCTCTCAATGCCATGCCCCTAACCCACGGTCTAAAAGGTCCGCTTGATGTTCCTCCTCCCTCCCATCCATCGTTTATTGTTTATATAGATATTTCTTGTTACTACTAGTAAGGCACCTGTTACTACTAGCGTGGCACTTATTTATATGTGTTTTATGTAACTCAGTGCTTCACATCGACGGACTCCATCTGGATCTGAGGATCTGATGTCCTTTTCTTCTGGACTCTTGAGCCCACCGCCGTTTCTCTCCGTCATCCACCACTGTTTCACCGGGCCCTCCGCCGGAGGAGATCCACTCGGCTTACAAGGAGGCGATGCGATTGGCCCACAAGCACGACGCCTCTTGGCGACTCTTTATATCAGAAATGTGTCTGGTTTGGGCAAGATTGATGGGCTCAAGAGCTCAGAACATGGTTTGGAAAGGTTTGGAATCCAGTTGGTTTTGGCAAACTTCAACGTCCGAAAACAAAACACTTGCGGGACAATCTTTGTGCCACCATGTTCAATTTACGAAGCTTCTTTTTGTTCGAACCATCGATCCTTTGTTTGAGCCAGGTCATTGAGAGCCCGCACGCGCAGGGCACGCCATTCGCGAGACGTAACAAAATGTTTGACGTTCAAGTCGGGGCGGGGACATGCTCAGCTGAGGACATGCAGTTGTCCTTCAACGTGCTCACTGGGATGGGCTCCCACGAGGCGCGACGGGCGATAGAGCTCCCATCGAAGGTTCCACTTCGATGCACGTGGGTGTTTCTGGGCGATGCGCAGGCAGATGGGCCTCTATCTTGGAGCTTCCCTAGTCCTGCGGAAACATCGCCATGTACGGGCAAATGACAAAGTCGAGGGGATGAAGGGATGACTTCCTAGAAGCTGCGTTCACATGGTAGAGTACACAAAAGGGACGCACAGGGATGACATTGTCCACTCCCTGCATGGTAAAGGTGTCGAGCATCATCATGATCGGAATCCAAGCGGAAGCACTTCTCATAGATCATACATCAATTCTAGTATATTATAATTGGTATGTGTCAGTTATTCTTGCGATTCGGGACATGGACGCCAGGTGAGGATGGAGAACCTAGAAGATGCCGAACATTTGTACCCTGGGGGCAGAGACGGTGTGGGCGGAAAAATTGTGAAAAAAACGAAGGAAAAGATGGTCGAGGAAGTATTAAAAGTGCTTTAGTAGGTATATACTTATGTCGTGCAGTCAGTTCCTGGGCATTGCGCCGAATCTGCCGCCCGTGTCATTCACCCCATCTTTAGACACGCATTGTCCCTTTGACATTCGGACGGCACTCATTTTGGGAGCTACAGATTGACTGATGTGGACGTGAACCACATGCAAAAGCGTTCAAGAAATTATAACATGGTCGCATGGAGGGAGAATTGGCACTGGGCGAAAACGAAGCTCAAGAACCAAAAGCAAAGCCTGCTGGAACTCTCCTTTTCGTTTTGTTTTTGGTCTTGAGGGAGACCAACATGGAGTGGCTTTGGAGCGACCCCTAAACGAAGTCAAAACACACCAAAACGTGACGAAGTAGACATTGGCCAATGTGTTTGGGATAGGATATTGGAATTGATTGCCCCCAGCACTCTTGAACGATGATGTGGTGGTGCTGTGATTAACAAGGTGGTAATCAATCTACTTAAGTCAGTTTATGAACACGCAGGACATACTTGTAGTATCGATATGTATCGATGCCAAGCCAAAGGAGAACGAAGCCAGAAAACATTGGACAGCCAAAAACGAAGCCTAAGGAGAGAAGACATAGTATACTGTAAGACCTATTTTGTAAATTCATTTTGAATGTCGCTCACATAGCCGTGAGTATGTCGCTGCAGTAGGGGCAGTATGTCGCTGCAGTATGTCCTTGTTCCGTTTCACGTTCCGTTTATCCAAGTCAGGTCGCAGTTCTCACGTCTCCTTCCATGGAGACGGGATCGAAACGGAGCGGGACGTCACGTCGTCCCATCATGTCTCATGCGACCGCTGAGGTATTTCCAGTCGCTGATGCTGGCGAAACGTGTGTTGTCCTCACATGAGGAGGCCATTGCCGAAGGCCACAGCTGGCTTTGGTAGGAGGACAGGTGGTGTAGTGGGCATAGATAATCTATGCATTTCAGGCCACGGCACTAGCTGTTGCTGTTGCAGAAAATCACAGATCAACGTGCCATTTCATCATAGATCATCATAGAAATGAAATTGTTCTAAATCAAATACAATACAGCCGTCCAATTTCTTGAATCATAAGGACCTGGAACTTGGTTTCACATCTTGCAAGCTGCGGATGAGTACACTCCCACGGCTTGGCACAAGTAGAACAGCACCAACCTGCAACCGACACAAGGAAATGAACAATAACAATAATTGACTAATGTAATTTAGTTGTTTGAGATCCTTATACAGCAAGTTTCGTACCCATCAAAGACAGGTGTAGTTTTATATTTGGTCCTTGCCACCCTGTAACCCTGCGCGAAACTTTGAGTCCACCAGTTCCAGCAGAGGAGGCGGTATTTGACCATCCCGGTAGTGATGCCCTTTGCTCCTAGTAGCGTGGAAAAACATCTACCGTCGAGCTTTGCCTCGGGTCGACGAGGCAACTTGGGCGTGTGCCTGGGCCAGATGGATGGCCGTCGTGCAGATGCTTGGAGATCGTTCCGGTTTTGGGAAACGATTAGTGTGTTGGAGGATCTTGATTTTTAGGTGTTGCTACCAGAACTAAACAATATCCAAACATATCCAAACTGTTAGAATTATACACCTCTCTAATCCCAAGAGGGCAGGTTGGCCCTTCAAAAGTTTGACTGGGATGATGTAATTTGGGAGTTTGGTCTTGGTGACCAAACGAACCCACGAGCGGGAAGCGGGTTCCGGAGGTGTTCTGGTTCTGGCTTAATATTGCTTGTATGCCAATGTGCAGCCCGTAATCATATTATCCCACGGACTAGTTTTCTTTTTGTTCAGGGAGGTTGAAGCCACCAAGCAGTGTTTTTGCCCAGGAATGTCTCGAGCACTTCCAGAAAGCCATCAAGCTCCACGATGGCAGCAACTCCCACAGCGTGGCTGCTGGGCAGATGACAGTGGGTACTGCTCGGGTGCTGGGCGTCGACAGGCCTCGGCTCGAGAAGCATGCCAGAGGTGTTTCCCAAATCACTTGTCACTACCGAGTACCCGAGGTGACACTCTTGGCCAATTATGCCTCAGCTCTTTGTGCAGATGAGAGGCGGAGCTGATCTAAACCGCAAGAGATTGATCCGGCTGAGCTCCCGGTACGGATGACTCAGCATGGTACATATATAAATACGTTACATTACGTACCATATCAGATCATATCGTTCCAATCAACACATGAGTGGCCCCGGACTTCTGCATGCAGTTCTTCTGGTTTTGTGCCAGTTTAAACATCTTTTAACCGAACTCTGGTGTAACTGGGCGACCGTCTGCCGGGTGCAGGTACCAGGAGGCGCAAGGCCAGTATGAGGCGGCCTTGAAGCTGGCCCGTCGCATCGGAGACCGGCGCGTGGAGATCAACATCCTCACGAACTTGGCCAATCTCTGCGACGCTCGGAGCGCGGAGCGGCGCGGAGCGGCACAGCGGCGACAAGACGAAAGGAGTAGAGGTATATAGTGGGTGCCAGCAGCAGTGGATGGTCGATGGTCACGAACTGATTGGACTTGGGGAATCCAAAAGGAGTGGTAAAACTGCAATAAGCCAACATTTCTACCATCATACTACAGGTGTTACGTGCCAAAGCGTTACAAGAGTGAAAATGACAACGACAGCAATACAACATCAATGCAGACAGCAGTTGATACAACATCAATGCAGAGCAGTTGATCCCCGCTTGATATGTGTCCCCATAAAAGAATGAACGTCGCCCGGCGCCTGGTGGCGCCTCCGAGGAAAATGTCCTGTCCTTGCCCGAGAAAGCACGACTCTACCGGGCCGCGCTGAAAGGGCACGTGCCGTGGACTACAATGCGGGGAGATGTGGTGAGCTGAAGGGAGGAAGAAAAAGACATACCATCCATTTGCAAGACAAAATGCCAGTAGGAGAGAAGACAAGATTCATCAAGATTATCAAATGTTTATGGAGCACTATCAATGATATAATCCACAAGCATATATATATATATTGAGTTACTATACAATCCATAGGCATATATATATATTGAGTTATTAGAATCTGTCATTATTTGTGTCATCCAGAGTTGCGTCAATAAGTATCAAGGAAGCATTTATGAAGGGGAGCATCTGAGAAAGTTAAGAGTGAGCAAACGAAGAATTATATGAGGATGTCAGTTGCTCTTCAAGGATCTTCAGGGGGATTTTGAGGGGTTCCTAGTTAGAAAGGCTCAGGAATCTGAGTACCACCGTGTCGCCCAGTGAAGTTGTGTAGAGTCTAGACCTGCGAACCTGTGAAGTTTCCTAGTGTGACTGATGTGTGCCCACCTCAGGACTCATTGGCAAGACTTTCCACCCAGCGACCTGCAAAAGACTTTGGAAGACTTGCTTCCTTTTTTACTTGGTCGTTCTAGGCTTTATGGAGGTATCTGGATAAAGGGAACAAAGGCCTACATCATGAAGTACGAATCTGCATGAATCTGCATAACAACCATGCACCATTCGGATGATTCGTTTTTTTTCCCCTTCAGTCTTCCCTTACCAATTACAAGGAACCCGTCCTCATTCGCCTTGATGCTCTGAGGCCGAGGGCAAGGAGATTTGTGCTATTTGCTTGGACTCTTTGGAGAACGGCCGCCCTCAGATCGCATCACGTCAACAAATTGTGGCCGGTCAAACCCGAACAGCATCGGATCGTTTGGGACGGCAACTTGAACTCGTTGCGATTGGTTCATTGCTTGAATGTCTCCACTTTGACTCGAGATATTCCTAGGTCCTAGAAAATGGGAGAAGCTATGATCCTAAAGAACAGATTCAGATTCGACAGTCGCCATCAAGTCATCCGCCATGTTCAGGCATTTCCAAGAAAGAAGCTTTGGGTCCATGCAGGTCCTTTCCATACTTTCAAGGAGGACTTGAAGACTTTCTGGTTCATAGAGGGTCAAAAGGGAAAATCAACCTTTGGTCAGATGAGGACAAGCATCTCCGCATCTCCCAAAGCACTAAACGCCATCATGGCCAGGAACTGGGCATGTATCCGCAAGTGATGCCGTTTCCGTTTTTGAAGGGGACTTCTGATCAGTTTTTGGCACACACGTTGTGCCAATGACTTGCTTCAGCACAATAAGTCCAAACGAATCAGGTTTGCCGAAAGAACGTCCCTTTCCTCACTGAGGTCTTGCAGTGTAACCATATCTATCACAGCGACTGCTTTGAGGGTGTCCTCTCCAGCGAGTGCCCTGGAGACGGAAAGACCCGCCAAGGTCGGTCCGTCGGAGCCCTCGGTCCAAACAGGATGCCGAACAAACGGCCCTAGCAGGGGGCTACGGTGAAGAAAAGAGTGAAGCTCAGGACAACTGGGCACTGGCTCCCAGACGAAGGGTGCGCCAAAACGGATGAAAGACACGGTTGGATGAGACAAAATTGATCCAAATGGTCTAAGCCTAAGTTAAACCAGCTAAACCCAGATGTGGTTGTATTTTGTGGTATTTTCATGTATTTGCCCCACCTCGTCCGTAAATTTGTTGTCTTGGGTGAGTGGTGACCTGGTCCACTTCATGCGGACCAAACGTCCAAACTGCTTCCAGCTTCGTTCTCAGACCTCTGGGGACTCGAAGTGGCCAGCTCATACGATCCAATTCAATCCTTCATTCAATTTCGCAGATGCTGTACAAGCTCAGCTTTCCACCTCACCCTTATTTTCATATAGGCTTTGCGTCCCCTTCCATCAACAGCCAACACCGCGCTCCCAACGATGCCGGTGAGGTCCGAAAGCCGCAGCCGATGCCCGCAGTGCCGGAACTCGCACTCCAGCTTCGCCGCAGCGTGAGTGGAACACGAGTACTGAGAGTGCTGAGTGGTTTGGGGAGCCATTGTAGGGTGGAAATGGTGAGAAGTATTGCAGTGATGACCTGCTCAAAAAATGATGTAGGCTGCGCCATGTTGCTCCCAATTTGCACTGTTTCCACAGGAGTCACCACGTAGTTCGCCTTTTCATGCAGCATTCATGCATGTTTTGTCCCGCTGAAAAGCGGCGGGAGTTGCATGGGAACAAAAGCTCCGGTTGCCACATGGGACACGGGAAGCGGTCAACGACTATTTGTTTTATCGCATGCGACATGGGGTGCGTTTTATTGGGAGCATGTATTGGCTGTAGAGGTGGGAACAGGTTTGAACTGCCACCACTGCAAAAAACACAGACATGAGATGAGACATGGACAGATGGATAAATAATGCGACAATTGTATGCAGTAATTTGTTTGCTGTTTGATATTGTTTGCTGGCCCTTCTTGCTGGTGTTGAAAGGGGCGGGCCTTTTGTGTGTTTCTGTCAGAACACGTCAGAGTCACCATTATAATCAGAGCAAGTGCATTTGCGTGTGTTGAATGAAATGGTATTTCCGGTTAACCCATCAATGAAGGGTAGATCTACGTACTTACTGTACTTTTTTGTCCTTTCTCAGCATCCCAGGTGGATGATGAGCAACTGGGTCCCTCAATTGCTGCCAAGGCGGGAAGGAGTTTTCCTTGTCAGTCCAGGCAGTGGCATCGACAGATACACTAATGTATATAGTGCTTTTCTGATAATTCAACGATCGATGATCAAGCACTCTTTTACTCGTTAACTATGTGATGATGGGTAATATGATGGAACTGGAACCTTACAGGACCCAGGAAGGGGATTGAGCCAGGATTGAGAGGGAGAACAGACTGGAGACCTCCGTATTCCACCAATCCGCCAGCTGCTACGCACCCGCACCGACCCGACCTGCGGACCGAAGGCGAAGGATTGGGCGGCGATCTTCTTCTCCAGTCTTTGGACCGAAGGCCCCGGGGCCGGACGGACGACGCATGGACGACGGATGAGCTGATTGTGACTAGTGAGGTGACTAAGAGGCGGAGGCGGTGGTTTTTCCTCGGAGGTCGATCAACTGGTGTGTTTCATGCAAAAAGCGGCGTGTCGTTTGGTCGGCTCCGGACAGTGTCGTTCTGCATACGCTGGAGCCCGTTTCGCATGCTCAGGACTTTTCGCCCAGCCCTCAGCTGTGTCAGACAGCGCAGATGATCTTCCACGTTTCAACCAGCTTTTGTGGCCGTGATACTGGGGATGTTTGTTATGATGTTGCGTCTCTCAACTTAGCGAGACTTGGATTCCCTGGTGTACAGGAGAACATCAACTTTGTCCCTGGTATTCAACAGAGCATATCCAGTAGTGTATTGCATTTTCTTATGATCCAGGCTCCATCTACCCATACTCCATACCATAAGGGGCAGCAATTTTCAGCAGTTATTTGATGTGCGTTTCCTGTTTTATGGAGGCTTTCAACATCATTGTTCGCTGGTGAGAAGAGCGGGATCCATTCCGAACAGATCAGCCAACAGGTTCTTGCTCCGTCGGAATGACTCCCCGTTACTGCAGCACTGGGGACTTTTTACAGTCCTTCCCGTTTCGGCCGGAGGCACTAGTAGCTAAGGGCATTACTGGAAACAAGAAGCTACTAGTAACAAAAGGGCATCGCTACTAGTAACAAGAAGCTAGTAGGAACAAAGGGCATCGCTACTAGGAGCAAGAAGCTACGTTCGTAGCTCCTGGCCTTACTTGGAACAAGGTTCGCTACGAACGGAGCAAAGGTACTGCCAGCTACGTTCGTAGCACCGGTGGTCGATCCAGTGAGGTTCCCATCTTCACCGCGGTGAAGTCGGTCACGGCACCCGAGCTGCATGCCTTTCTGCGGGCGCCCGCACCAGGGGGCGAGTGGTGACTGAGTAGTGGGCGAACCCAACATGGATACCGGGGAGATGGTTGGGTTAGTGACCACCCTTTTGGAAGACAGACAAATTGATGCTTGCATCTACGTTTATGAAAGAGTATGGGAGATACAGGTCGGCAATTGCGGCAATATGATGCAATACACGTGTGTGTGTGTGTCCACCCCTGGACAAAGGGTTTTCCACCGCCACTCTTTT